CTGTGAGTAGCACTGATCTCTTTGTGACAGCATCTATACCCAATCTTCAAATACAACCTCCCTGGAGGTTAGGGATTCAGTTTGTGTTTGGGGAATGCATAGTCTACCACAGAGACGATTACTACAGACTGTCCACTTTTTGAGTCTCCATGGAGGTAAAAATGTCTCCTTTGCCATCGCTGCGCATTGTTTTTGTTATCTTCTTTACTTCACAATCCCTGTGTCTAGGGCCTCACTTCCAAAGTCAGTCTGTCTTCATCCTGTGGGGCTCCGTCTACTTTTATCTTTTGCCCTTGACATTCACCACTTCTCACTCTCCACTACTGGAGGTTGTCCTGCTGTTATCTGTGGTTTTTCTTATTTTATTTTATACTTTGTGTGCTATGTGAGGTTTTTATAATCATAATTGCTTGTCCTGCCAGACATCGGTCTGTGGATTAGCATAATGGTAGTAGGTAAAGATGTCATGTGCTTGTCTAGGAGACACTGCAATGAGATGCATGTTTTAGTCATTGACAGTTCATTTTCATATTATGAAGGAGTATTTCTGGCTTCATTTAAAGAATAAGAAAGTACTATTGACAGGACTTCTCAACTTGTACCTTTGTTTTTAGACACTTTGGAGGTTTTGTTTTTTCCTCTTCTCCTTTGTGTTTGGGAGTTTCAAAAAGGATGCAGAGGAAATGGGACAGTGACGTTTTGTTTGTTTTGAAGTTGTTGAGTTTAGATTGTGCATTCATTTGTGGTGTGTGAATTGCAGGATGTAGTTCTGGGGTCCTCCCTGCCAGCAGACCCCCACATCAAGGTTATTCTGGGAAGTCTTATCCAAAGTTGACTGTAAAATGCAGGGCTGACCTTTGTCAAACAGGAAACAGATATAAATAACTGTTCAGTCTTAATTCAGTTCAAGCAACTTTCTCACACATACTTTAATAATACATTTTAAAAAGTAATTTCCTTTTTAGAAAGAACACTAAAATTCCTTTGTTTCCAGGCCACTTTTAACAAGAAACTTTCTCACCTTAATGTGTAAATGGTCCTGTCCCTCTAACAGTAGGAAAATTACATTTATTGGCATTCAAGTTACAAAATAAATTTTTGAAAAATGTTGAAAACATTTTTATCTGGGTTCTTTATCTTGTAGTTTTTCTGAGGCTACTGATTAGGAACTATAGAGCTAACATGTTTAGTATTTCTCAGCTTTTCAGGATTGTACACTCAGCCTCTTTACACACTTATTTCTTAATGACACCCTCACGGCATGTGAATGTGTATGTGTACTTATGTGTAGATTTACTGTATGTTAGTTTGTGTACATACCCGTGCTGTATGTATAAAAAGAGTAAGTTTTCGTTGTTTCCCGAGTAGGTAATGCTTGCCCAAGCTGGATGTTAACATGTGAATGAAAGCTGTCACTTGAGCTTGCTATGAGTGATGGTGGGAACAGATTCCAAGGGCATGGAAGAGTCGAGGTGCCATGATCTGCCGATTCAGGTCATGAAGAGGGAGCAGGTAGTTTCCTGGACTCTGGCTCCATGGTGGTGTTAGAAATAAGTTTGGGGCCACAAAGAAAGAGAACACTACTGTAACAGAAGTGTCTTGACAAGGTAAAACGTTACTTTTGTTCAAGAGGGCGTATTGCACACTAAAGGAGAAGAGCCGACACACAGGACTGGAAATGTGCTTGGGTTTTCATTCTCACCCAGGTGGTGACTGTGTCCTTTCCTCATTGGCTGAGGTCAGGCTTGCTGTTCTAGGGAGAAAGGGGCCTCTGCTCCAGGCCATCTAGTGGCTGGAATGCAGGAGAGAGACCCCTGGGTATTCATAACTTTACCTGGTGTATTAGGAATTAAACTTTTGCATGAATGTTTTTCTGCGGTGGGGAAAATATAAGAAAAAGATCACCCAAGTTTTGAAGCTTTTGGTACAAAAGACTCATATTTCATGTTTTATTACAGTGTGCATACTGGGAGTGTCACGCTGGAACTGAGATGTAGAGCATGGAGAAGGGGGCTGGTTTTGTCTATGTTGAGCTTGCTTGGGAGGCCCAGGCATTTTTGGGTAACAGGCTATAGAGTTAGAAAGCCTGTCGCTCTGTGAAGCATGGTTGTGGAGCAAGCTATGTGGGGACACTGTCTTAAAAGTAGTTAGATATTGAGGCTGGCCTGAAGCATACAGACTGTTGGAGGAAGATTGTGTGAGTTAGAACAGTGGGGGAGGTGGGGGCTAGGGGGTGGCAGAGAGGGCTAGAACCCAGACTGAGGAACAATAGACTTATTTGTAGAGCTTAATTAAGATATTTGTGAAAATATTTTAATTTGGCAAAGAAAAGATATGGGATAAAGTGAGACTGGTTTTGTTTCTAAATGGTGAATGTTGAGTTCTATATAGATTTTGTGAATGTATTAAATTTGAAAGAGTATAAATTAAAATGATTTAGCTCAGGAAATCCTCAAAGAATCCCAAACTTTCTAAGGCACAACTCCGGTTTCTGGGACATTAAGACTGAAGGCATTTAGGCCTAGGATTCTATCAATTACACCTCTCCCAGGTAGGTATGAAAATGAACTGACAACGGGTGCCCTGTTGTAAACCCTTTTGACCTATCTTTTTTTTTTTTTTTTTTGGTTTTTCAAGACAGGGTTTCTCTGTGGCTTTGGAGGCTGTCCTGGAACTAGATCTTCTTGTAGACCAGGCTGGTCTCAAACTCACAGAGATCTGCCTGCCTCTGCCTCCAGAGTGCTGGGACTAAAGGTGTGTGCCACCACTGTCCGGCTCTGACCTATCTTAATACTTGGAGATGCCTAGACTGCTATGGGAAAGGCCTTCATTGTGATGTTGTTTGAAAATTAAGATTCGTATCTCACAACAACAGTGCTCAGGGCCTAGGAACTTCTGGGAGCTTCCTGAAGACTACAGCACAGCCAATGTAAGGACTAGAACCCTGGTCGCCATGCCTTCACTCTGTTCTTTTGTTAATTCATCAGATTTCCTCGTTCATAAAGATGGTCTTCACATTTGGAATTTTATTAATCCAGAGAGTCTTTCTCTTCATTTAATCTGAAGGGCCTTACCTTCTGTTTTTGTAATTGTCATTTGCATTATCTCCTGCCTGGTTAGAGAAGATGAGAGGTAAGAGTATTCCTTGACACACCCTAGTCCAGAGTTTCTTTTACATAATCCTTTTTATGTACCACAGATTGCTAATTACATGTAGCAAATTATTAATTCCTTTGAATAACACACAATTTTTTTTTCCTTCTTTTTGAGACATAGTCTCACCATGAAGTCCAGACAGGCTTTGATATGGAACCCTACTGCCTGAGCCTTCCCATTGCTGGAGTTGTAGGAACTTTAATACGATGCAGTGTTCTTAACAATTTCTTAACAGTTTTTGAGAGGGACTAAATAAAGGGATGAGGTATAGTCTTAAGTTTAGGAAGATAGCAAGAGGAAAGATTGAAATGAATACCACATATCTTGGAATGTACTTATATCTAGGAATGGTATTTTTCTACTGAATTGAACCTGGTTCCATATGAAAAGATTTGGGGTCATTGTTAGGCTTTTCCCTCTATTCACTTTAGATAGTCATAGACTCAAAATTATAGTTTGAGTTATGTGTGTGTGTGTGTGTGTGTGTGTGTGTGTGTGTGTGTGTGTATACACACATACATGCATGCATGCATATATGCATACATATGTATGGGTGAGATGGCTCAGTGGGTAAAGGTGCTTGCCACCAAGTCTTGCTACCTGAGTTCTATTCTGAAACCCACTTGATGAAAAACAGAGAGTGGGTTCCCCCCAGGATGCCCTCTGATATGTGGCACATGCGTATATGTACACACAGAGACAGCAAACAAACAAATAAATGTAATTTACAAGAAAAAAATCCTTTAACAGCAAACATGAAAAACACCAGCAGCACTAATACGTGTAATCAGTGATGACCATTAACCTTTCGATGATGTTTTTATGGCTGCCTCTTTCATTGTTCAGGGCATCTGTGGGACCAGGGAAATCATTAATGGGGGAAATGGCGGGGAGGAACTGTGAGTGATGGCAGATAGTGTTGCCCTGGACTCAGCTGTGACGGCCTTTCAATCAAATCAGTTTCCAAAGTCCCATTACTCTCTGCAACAGGAAGTTATGCTGCCTCTGCCCTTACAGATTATTTCTTCGCTTGACCTTTATTGTGTTTGATTTTGTAATCTTAATTTTTTTTCTCTCTCATTTCTTTTTAAACATTTGGGTGTAGATAGGAGAGAATTCCTTCCTATGCTTTAGGGAGTGGCATCAAAAACACATTTATTTTGTTCAGCAGTTCTGCTCCATCCTTCCTTACAGATAAAGACCCTTTCTTTCTGTGTGACATGAGAATGTTGGGTCTGGGTGTGCCTTTCTGTAGTGGCATTTGACATGAGAAACTGCATAAAAACTCATTAACTGCTATGGCACAGGTTATGAAGCACATTAGCTTGTCACTTATTTTTAGGCAGACAGACCTGTCATATTCCCCCAATAGTAGAGGTGGGTGGTGCTCATGTTTCTCTTGCAAATTCTTTTGGGCAGTATTAAATACTAGAGTTTTCCCTTGTCTGAATGGTTGTCTCAGGGATTCCTATAAAATGGCAAAAACAACGTGTTCCTGAAGGGAACTTTCATGTCACTTCTTCTACCCTGATCATTGTATAGGGAGGCCCAGAGAGGGAAAATGATTTGTCTGTTCAAGATTGGTAGAGGGAAATGTAGGCCTAACTGCAGCTCCCTGCTCTTTAAGTGATTGCTCAAATTCTAGTCCACACCAGGCAGTCCTGTCTTTGGGCTCCCTTTAAAATTCGGTTCAAATCTCTCACTCACATGATCCAAGGGGCAGCAGCCTATGAAATTTTGTATGAAGTTTCTTGATCTTAAATGTTGACAATAAATTTTCAGGGGCTGTAGTGTGGAGGCCCCTGGACCTCAGTAATTATTGTTGTTGTTATTTATGTCAACAGGTTTCACAGGAAGTTTTGTGGCTTTGGAAAACAGGGAGGTAGGGAGGCCCATTCATGAGCGAGCTTCTTAGACAGCCGCCCTCGGGTTCAGTCCATGATCACCATTTGTCTTTCTGTGACTTAAGTTTCTTACCTGCTCTCTGTAAGTATCCGCAACTTAAAACACTGCTGCCAATCACCACATGTTTTTTGACTTGTTTTCTAGCTTGTTGCAAGCTGTTTTGGGAAACCCATTTTTATGGCAATCTATTGGTGCCTAGACCAGCAAGGCTTTATTTACAACACGGTCTCTGTTTGGGAGGCAAAAAAAAGGGGTGTATAATTTTAGCTTGTCAACTCCAATACATTATGTTTGTACAAATAGCAGGCTTTTGAGTTTTCCTGGATTAGTGTGTTTGCAGTGAGCTCTCGTCTAGGTTTGGCACAGCATTTTCAGGATTTCTTTGGCATGTATCTTCTCTGAAAATATTATCAAGGCACTTTCCTGACACTAGTGACAGTTTTCACAGAGGTGGTTTGTCATACTTTCAGTGGCCTATCACTGTTTTCTTCCCCCTTTTACAGTCTCTATCCCGAGCAGGTAATAAAATCCTGTTACTGTTCATTATACTTGGAGATATAATATGTAATTAATTAGATGATTGAGAGTTTCTTTGCAGCTGTGTATATAGGTGGATGTTTCTCATAGAGAGAGTCAGTCATTTTTGAGTTGCTACAGTTTGTGGAAGTATATGCATTCAGAGCAGTGGTTCTCAACCTGTAACTCATGACCTCTTTGGGGATGGCTATCGGATATCCTGCAGATCAAATATTTCCATTACAATTCATAACAGTAGTAAAACTACAGTTATGAAGCAGCAACCAAAGTAATTTTATGGCTGGGGGTCACCACACCATGAGGAACTATATTAAGGGTCACAGTGTCAGGAAGGTTGAGAACTGCTGCTCTAGAGGTTTGTCTGTGGAGCTTGATTTACACAACTAATACATTGGAAAGCTGTCACCATTCCTTGTGAGGGTTATAATCTTAATTTCACTTGGAACGTTTAAGGGACTCAGAGCTTCAATTCTGATGTTGTAGCCTTATACTTCAAAGGGGGGAAAGGGCTACATAGAGCTTCCAGTACTTCAGAAAAATTAAAACATTATTATTGGAATTTGGGGGTCCTTTTATTGTTACCAGATGATACAAGGAAAATTTGTTTCCCTTTGGGGGTTCTTAGTCTCATTAATAAAAGGTTTTAAGAATGAACTGAAACAGAATATGGATGGGATCCTTTTTTATGTTTATTTATTTATATACAGTGTTTTGCCTGCTTGTATGCCTGAAGGCAGAAGAGTGCACCAGATCTCATTACAGTTGGTTTTGAGTCACCATATGGTTGCTGGGAATTGAACTCAGGACCTCCGGAAGGGCAGTCAGTGCTCTTATCCCCTGAGCCATCACTCCAGTCCCCGGGTTCAAGCACTTTTAATCTAAGGCTTTTTAGGTTGATGAGGTAACTGGTAATGAGATAGTAAAGTGACTTGAGCACCTACGTACAGATTTTGATGACTCAAAAATCTAGATGTCTGTGTCGTCTTTCAATTTGTTCATATTCATGTTAGCAAGATATCATTTTATTCATTTTATTTTTGATTTTGTAATTCACTGCTTTAACCTCTGAGCCACCTCTCCAGCCTCTCCAGAATCTGAAGGACAACTTTATTAGGATTTAAAAGAGAAACCACAGGGTAGGCCTGCTGTCAACCTCAGCTGCTGCCCAGGGGAGATGAAAGGAGAGAGAAGGAAAAAAGTCATGCTGCTTAAGCTATTGGAAGGGTTGGACCTTGGCAGACAAGCAGCCATGTGGCAGGCGTGGAGACTTTGGAGAAGAATAATCCAGAAGAGCATTCTGGATTTACTCCAGCTCCATGACTGTTGACCTGAAGGCTACTGCGCTGGGTGAGGGGTTTCAGGGAAGGGACAGTCCAGAATCTCATTACAGGAAAAGTAGTCCGCCTATCTCTTAACATGGCTGAAGGCAAGCATCTCTTTACAGGGCAGTCTCTGGGTCTACTGACTTAACTGGCCCAATGGTTTGCTGGGTCTCTACCCAAGCCAGGGAGTTTATTCTCTTGACCAGGAACATTTTTATTCAAACGAGGTACTAGAAGTGAAAGGACCTGCTCATCCTCCTTTGCATTTCTAAGATTGTGGTCCTCGCCTGGTTTTTGGAAATGGAGCATACAGTTAGTAACAAAAATTAGTCAAAAAACCAATGGATTTGAGTTTCAACTTTCAGAATACATATATTGTGCATATTATAAAAAGGACTAAGATAACCAGAATAATCAAAGAGTTGAACTGGTGCTGGGTAGTGTCTAAGGGCCAAAGACATCAACAGGGAAGGAAGGAACTAAAGTGGTCTTTTTCTTAAGTGCCAGGAAGCAAAAGGCATCTATATGTGTGTGTGCATGCACCTGTATGTTTGCACATGTGGGTGGGTGGATGGGGGTGGCCAGAGTGCTACAGGGCACCCAGGCCCTTTGGGAAGATCTTGTTGGTCTGAGTAGGCGAAGACACTGGTATTAGGGTATTTATCCTGTCTATATAACCTTGGGTGGCCATCATCTTAGTTTCTATGTTTGTGGGGGTTTGTATCTAGGGCTCTTCCTTTATTTCCGCCAAGATCTTTGTGGTCTAGCCATTTACTAGTTATAAAAGACGTCCATATGGAAAATGTCTGTCCTCACTGTCCCTCAGCTTTTTAGTGGCCTCATGCCTCCTCTCTCCCGAGAACCATGGCACTCTTCCTGAGACATCTTAGAATATCGGAGGGAGGAGCTTATTCTCTCAGTTTCAGGAAGTGCTCACTGTGCTCCTGCATCTCCCTGTTCACTTGAGATGCAGGAGGGCAGGCTCAGGGCCTCTCACACACTAGGCAAGCGTTTACCACTGACTCATGTTCCCAGCCAGGCTCACATTTTCTAACTGTGGATGTTTGCCTTGTAGCTTGTCCACACATGCCTCCATTATATGGGAATCTGACTTAACACAAAACTACATAATTGCTTATTTTGAGAAGACCCACACTATAGTTCATTTGAGTCATGACAGAAAGTTGAATTGCATTATCTGCCCCATTTAAAAAGGTAGCAAATTATATAATAATACCATTATCCTGACATTTACTGGAAGCTTATTATTTGAGAAGCACATAAAAAGCCACTTGATCTTGGGGGAAAAACATGTCAGCTTAATTAACTATATCTACTAGTGAGGAAATAAAAGACCAAAAAGCTAAGTATAGTACAATTTAGAAGGAATCTTCTTAGGTTAAATTTATTTTCTATGGTGGTGAGTAATGATAATACTTGGTATTTTAAATACACAATTTTGGGGCAGACCGTCTTAAGGTGGTTAGAGTTGTCTGGTGCTGGCTCTTCTGTAGGCTTATTTTTAATAGAAGAATTAAGATAGCATTGATTCATTATCATTAGATAGAGTTGTGCTTCATCTCTAGTTCAAAAGTTAGAAGGCTGTTCATGTATCTGGCTGTAGTGGCCGCCACATCTAACTAGTCCTTTGAGAAGATTTCCAATCCTGAGAAAGCCTTCCTGGCTAAGGGCCATCTTTTGTTTGTTTGCTTGGCTCAGGTCATTCGTAGTTGTCAGCAGGGCACGGCCTAGGTTCACCTGACAGAAGACACTTCGGTTAAGCAGTTGCCTAAATAACATCGGCGAACTAGACATTAGTGTGGTGATTGTTGGGAGGTGGCAGGTGGCACATGCCTACCAAACACTTGCGATGCAATGTGTATTGGGCATTCTAGAAAGGATAAGAGTGAAGTGTTGTGTGAATGTAGATAAAGACTACCCAGTGGACCCCTTGTTCTGTATGTATGTATTCTCAGATATATACCCATAGACATTTTTTCCCCAAAGACAGTTTCTCTGTGTAGCTCTAACTATCCTGGAACTAGTTCTGTAGACCAGGCTGTCCTCGGACTCTCAGAGATCTGCCTGTCTCTTGGAGACAAATTTTAAGTAAATTTTGAATGTGGAGATCTGATGACACTAGTGATCTTTGAGCGGCTTCGGTATGGCAAAGCACGGAAGACTGTGTGTTAAATCAGTTCTAGTTAGGTTTGGAAGGAGTCATCTGAGGGTAGTGTTGTCTCTCAGGAACCCAGTCTTCTGTCTTGTTCACTTTCGCAGTTCTTGGTTGGAGCCTCATTGTCCAGAGTAGCTGCTTGAGCTCAAGCCGTCATGTACATGTTTCAGATTTCAGGAAGGAAGAGCAGGCAATAGTTTGCTCGTCTTCTTTAAAGAAACATTTTAGAATTCCTACTCAGTTTTGTTCTCAGAATTCAGATCATAAACAAATGTTTACACTTAACTGCAGATAAAGCCGGAACTACAGCACTTTCCCTGTTGTGCTCTGCACTCAGTCCTCTCCGATCTGGAAGAAGACCCTCTTGGTATCTCAGAAAAACCAAGGACCTAGCCAGTATTTGTGGGAGTAAGGATATTCACACAATTCTATTTGCTCAGCTGCGGCAACGTTTGTGTAGAAAAGAGACTTGTGTTTTATTAGTTACATGTAAACCTGTGACTATAGAGGTGATGCTTGAACTATACAGATTGTTTCTTTGTTTTGTGTGTTTAGGTAATAGAGTTAGTTGCTTCTAGATTATATCATATAGAATTCTCAGAATAGCATTAATAAAAGCTCACCCCCATGCTGCCCCACCACAAAGATTAGTTTCATACCTAGCAATAGTTATATGGTTGCTGTTACTCTCTTTTTTTATAGCACACACTGACATACAATACTGATGTGCCATTTCCGTAATAGGATTACTCTAGGATGGAACACAATACCCCCAACCTTGACATTAGAAGGCCTGATTCTGTGTCCCCTTTAGAATCATGCATTGCCCTGGAAAGGTGGCCCTGAGACATCTGACCCAGGATTAGGGGTTAATGTTGTGAAGGAAGTTAAGATCCAGGGCTGTTGTCTCTCAGAAACCTGTTCAGCCCATGAAATACCCTTGATTTTATTCTTTCCTAGAGCGACCCCATCCGTTTCCCTGAGAGTAATTTGAAAAACATGTTAACATTTACTCAAGGATTTTCTTGTTCTTTGAAGTGGCACTT